ATGTAGTTGAGACTGCTCTGGAACTCACTATGTAGCCCAGGCTGGTCTCGAACTCACAGCGATCCTCCTGCCTCAGCCTCCCGAGTGCTGGGATGACAGGCGTGAGCCACCACGCCCGGGCCTAGGAAATATTTATTGAGGGAAAGACAGCTCCTGCCTAAGAGGGGCAGGAGGGGACACGCAGAAAGCAGGTTGCCCGGCACCCATTTCTTAGGGGTTTTTATGGAGCACAGCCATGAGATGAGGCGGGTATAAAGTGGGACAAAACTACAGTCAGCTGGTGCGATCTGATGGAAAAACACAAGGTGGGCACGAGGTGGGACAAACCACGATCAGCCTATAAGGTTCCGAGCAGTCACCCAGGTAATACTGAAAATGGGGATGGCACGCGGGAACCACAGCATGCCCCTGCGTACATGGAATGAACAAGCAATTCCCGGAAGGGAGGTGGGCCAGGAGATCCTGGTCCCCACCGGCCGGGATTGATGTCTGCTTGAAGTACCCATTCCGGCTCATGTCTCTGGAGGAAGCACGCAGGGGTAGTGCTTTTCTTTTTGAGCCTTGGCCTTGAGCGGATGGTACTGACTCTCTCCAGGGCCCGGCCCTGCCTGCAGCATATCTAACTAGCTTAACTACCTGACTAGCTACTGCCTGACTAGCTTAACTAACTACCTACCTAACCAGCTCAGCTGTCTCCGACTGAGGCAGCACCTCAGCCCAGCAGGACACTGGGCCCTTTCTTCGAAGACTGGGTGGAGTTTACCTCCTTGGAATAAATAGCTCTGGGCTCCTTTTTTGCTTTCCCTGCCCAGTGTGGATCTGCCAAAAGCAGCCCGTGTGTGCAGTGAACGGGGCCATTCACTGCCACAGCGACTCACAGTGAGCTGTGTGTTAGGGAGCCCGTGTGTGCTGCGGGCCCTCCGTGAACCCCGGAGATGCAGCCGGGGGACAAGAAGCTCCTGGGCCCGGCGCTGGGCGCGGGGTGGGGTGTAGGAAACAGGAGAGAGAGGAAGCTACAGAAAGGAGCGGCTCCTGAAGATGATGACCCGAGGCCCGGGGCAGCTCTCTCCCCTACAGCAGGGTTTTAGTGAAGGTGTCAAAGTAGACAGGAAGTCAGGGGCCTGAGTCTGTGCTCACTGGACCGTCTTGGTCTGTGCACAGTTTCCCGTTCAAGACGCTGAACACCCCTGACCTGGGAAGATCTGCACTCCGAAGTCATCGAATCTAGGACTTCAAGGCACAGAAGAATTCAGGAAGGGTCGCTGCCCAGGGAGAGCGTGCCTGGCTCCTTTTGGGTGAACGCTTAGCTTGCTCGGGGCACACGGGTGACCACGAGAACACCTACCCGGGACGCAAGGGTGCCAGCCTCAAGACCAAGACGCACTCTGCAAATGTTTGCATCTCGGGCTGGGGTGAGCCAAGGGTTCACTCCCAGCACCGGGAAAATAAAGCACCGCAAGTGAGTGGGGGAGGGAGCAGCAAGGGCCCTGGGCCCTGCGCCCCTCCCTGCACCGCTGCACCCGGCACAGGCCAGGGTGGCAGATTCAGGCCGCGGTGGAGACGCTGCCAGCCTCCCAGGTACCCCCGGAAGTGGGCCTGGGAACTGTGCCACCCACGGAGCAGGCCGAGAGTGGGCGGGCTTCCATCGTAGAAGAGGAACCTGCAGGACGTTGGAAAACAGGCGGAGAGGTCTGTGAGGCCCACACTCTCGGCACAGCGTCCGGCCCTCGGGAGGGACAGGCACAGGGTTTGGCCAGGAGCTGGGGACATCGACGGGGATTCAGGAATGCAGACCTGTGGAACTTGTGAATCTTCCGGAGGAGGACACGGAGGAGAGAGGGCCCATTTCCAGGCAGGAGGGTGGGGCCCAGGCACTAGGAAAAGGCCCGTTTTACTGGAGCAACGGACAGCTGAGTCACAGGAGAAAAGGGCCTTCTACAGGAACAAGGGTGCACCCGGCCTTTGTCTTTAGGAAGTCCTGACTGGGTTGTGTCCTGAAACGGCAGTTTTCTGTCTTACAGTGTAGTTCAGGCTGGTCTCACACCGTCTTTGTAGCCCAGGATGGCCTTGAATTCACTGTGGCCCTCCTGCCTCAGCCTCCCCAGCGCTAGGATTACAGGTGTGTGCCACTACGCCTGGCTGGATGCTGCAGTTTTTATTAAAGGCACACACACACACACACACACACACACACACTCACTCACAACTTTTCTGGCCAGGGATTTAGCTCAGTTTCCTCCACCTACCTTGTAAGGGCAAGGTCCCGAGTTTGATCCCCGGTATAAAATACCAAATAAATAGGCATGGTGGTGCACTCCTGTAATCCCAGCACTTGGAAGGCTGAGGCAGGAGGATCGCTGTGAGTTTGAGACCAACCTGGGATACATAGTAAGTTCCAGGTCAGTCTCAACTACATAGTGAGACCCTGTCTCAAAAAAAAAACCAACCAACCAAACAAACAAACCAAAAAAAAACTTTCCTTTGTGGTACTTGTAGTTGAACCCAGGGCCTTCACTCTACCCTACATCTCCAGCTCATTTTAAATGTGTGTGTGTGTGAGAGAGAGACAGTGTGGTACTATTATAGACAGCTAAGTTAGGTAGGAATGTTCGAGGCATGAGACAGGGCTGGACCCTTCGGGGAGTCAGTGCGGATAAGAACACATCACCACTGTGGCTGCAGGCACATCCCTGAGGGCCAGGCCTCAAGATAAAGACAGAAAGATCTGCACACTTCCCTGACAGATAAGCAATACACAGCGGACCCTTCACGTACAGACTCGGTGGGTTTCCGAGGGCTGCTTGTAACTCCAGTTGGTTGGAAGTCAGTACAGCTGAGCTCTGGATGTTTACCTGGGTACACGCTACAGGTAGCGAGAGGCAGGTGAACCTTCCACTCACCTAATAACCCGAGGGGCTCAGGCCGGCTGTAACTCGAGGGTCCCCTGTACCATAATGGGTCGTGCCTGGTCCAGTAAAGTCTAGGGAGACACCAGTCACCACAGGGGGTGACCAGAGTCTCCGAATCCGTCCCTTCCTGAAAAGGCCCTGTCCTTCCCATGCACACCTGCTGCTCGGCCTGCTTCCCCGCGGTCCGTGTCGCCTCGGTGGCTGTGCTCCCAGTCTTATTGGTGGATGTTCCCTCCTTGTGACTGCTCTATAAAATGTCCTTGGAGAAGTGGGCTCCTTGGCAACCTACTTTCGGGTCCCCTGCTGTCTTTCAGGAGCCCCGCACACTCTCTCTCTCTCTCAACAAATATTTCCTCCTCTTAACCTCTGCTGTTCCTTAGAATTCATTCTTCAGTTTAATGGAACACGAACTCAGCATACCTGGCATCGCGCAGGCTGGGAGCTACATCTCTTTCTCCTATAGCATTACTAAAAGTCACCAAGTTGCCCAGGCTGGGCTACTGCTTGGGGCCCTATGGCTTCATCCTGCCAGAGTGCTGAGAATACAGTCGTGCTCCACCACGCCTGGCTTTCAATGGTTGAATGTTAAAATTACAATTTCTCTTGTCTCCTTTCTATCTATCTTTTTTTTTTTTTTTTTTTTTTTTGGTTTTCTTTGAGACGGTCTCTGTGTGTAGCCCAGGCTGGCCTCGAACTCTGGCGATCCTCCTGCCTCAGCCTCCAGAGTGCTGGGATTACAGGCGTGCACCACCACCCCTGGGTGCTTATCTTTACTTCTTACCCCCTACTTCACCGTGAATGCAAGAGGGGACGTCCTGGGAAGCCTGCAGCTTACACCCAGTCCCCACCGCTGTGGTCAGAGGCCCACGCCGCCCAGGCCCTGACGGATGCTGAAGCGACAAAGCCATCCTTGCGCAGGCCCGGAGGACGGAGGGTCTGCGC